GTGAATTTCACGCAGATATTTTGACTAAAACTATCGCTAACGCTTCACGTGTTTCTGTGACGCGATAATTTCGTTTATGAAGATGTAATTTCATAACCAAACAAACACGGGAGTATTAGGTTTACAAACCATGGTCTCCAAGGTAGGGATAATCACGTTATTATAATGGTGATATTGCAGTGACAATTGCGTGATTTAGTGAACGTGTGTTTCAAGTTACCTAATGCAATAAACGTATTAACACATTTACGTAAATGTCCGGTGTTTGAAGAACGTAACTCTCCTCAAGTCGATACCTTGATATTGACGTGATTTTCACGTGATTTTATTTATTTGGTTGGCGTACAGTTGCATAGTAAAGTCTACGCCGAAGGTACGCGAAAAAAATTAAACATGTTTAATTGTTTGCGTTCATTTCGCGTACCCATTCGCGTCCCTCCGCGTACAGTTGCGTAGGGTTGCGTACGATCGGCGTAGGGTTGCGTACGATCGGCGTAGTCGCTACGCAACTCTACGCAACTCAACGCAAGGCCCGGTGTGAAAGCCCCTTTAACTTCGGCGTAGTTGGTACGCAACACTACGCAACTCTACGCAGATCCGGTGTGAAAGGGGCTTTAGATGAAAAGAGTACTTATCAGGAGGGAAGGGGTACTTTTCAATTTTCAAAGTAAAACGAGCATCTCTCAGATTTGAATAGGGGCAATTATCGGAGGTGAAGAGCGCACTGAAGTGAAAAGAATTAACTTCTAATATTTGAAAATGGTCATTTACCAGAGATGAAAAGGGACACTTTTTTATTTATGAAGGGCCTCATTTTTCTAAATAGCCCTTATCAGATAGGAAAGGGGGCACATGTGTTGATGAAATGTGCGCTTATCCGAGTTAAAAAGGGAAGGGGCACTTCTTTACAAAGTAAAAGTGGCCCTTTGGGGGGGGGGGGTACTTGAAAAAGTGGGGCGAACTTTCCCCCTTACCCCTGCCACCCGCCCCATCATCTAAAAATCCAAAATGATGCTGTAGGGGCCGGGCGCGGCTTTATCATGAGTGCTTTTTTGTGAACCTCTTTTTTATAAATATATTATGCTGGATTAAGACGCAGATTGCACACTCTAAAATGATAGTATGGTCATCCCCAATAGGCCAATACGTTTGCAGTTCACGTATGCACCCCTTCCTCCTAATCCATCCGTCACTGCCATTTACGTATGGCCGGCAGGCGTATTTTTAATTTACACGCTAGCGAGGGGAATTTCTCGATTAATTCCAATGAAACCGCTTAAAATTCCAATGAAACCGCTCGCGAAGAGTCCAGCCTGGATCGGAGAGCTCGCTAGTGCTATACGCTAGTGTGAATTTACATCCAGGAGAAAGTTTGCTTATCTTTTTCTTGAAACACTTGAACGGTTATGGAAACTGTTTGTGTTTCTAATCTCCAAATATTAATATTATTCTGCATCAAATATAAAACAATGATTTCTACTGTGATATGTAAAGGCACGAACTTACGTTAATACATACACATATTTTTTTTGTAACCAAGAAGGTGCACCGTGGTAATACATTTAAACAAACACATCAACATGTTATCTAGACAACTCATCATCATAGCCATTGTAAAACCATATATTAATGATACATGTAAAATATAGATTGAAGCAATTCTCGTCAATTGGCTGTATCCTGAGTGTGATTTATATAATGTTTTTTTTTTTTTATATCATTTGCATCTACCTGTAGTTGAAGAATAGATACAGTGTATAACATCAATTAAGTTGGAGTTCAATTGGAAGGAAGTAACGAGGAATATTAAAGCAAGGGAGACTGGGAGATGAGGAAAGCAGGAAGTTAGAAATTGAGAGATTACTCGCGAGATAGCCTTGCATTAATGAATCCTTTATATAATGTTGTCTTGAGAGAAAGTAGACGATTTTTTTTTTTTAATTGGAGATTAGTGCAAGTATTAGATATATTGGAAATAGAATTAATGAGAAAGTTATTTTTATCGAGATCAATACATGGGGGGGGGCACAATCAAAATAGGGCACCTTCTGGAATATAAGGTGCACCTTTTATCATAGCTCCAAATTATTCAATTGCCTCTTTTTTGAAACGCGAACCTTAGACACACTGGCTACCTTTGTTCGCACCATTGATTTGAATGAACTCATATAGACTGAACATTATCTTGCCCTTTTTACAATTTTTACCTTCAATTTGATATTCTATTAGTTATGTTATATATATTTTTTTTTTTTATTATTTTTTTTTTAATAGTTTTTTTTTAAGTTTTTTTTTAAATAGTTTTTTAAACATGATAAATATGATAAATATTATACCCATCCTCTTATTTCTTGTGTTTTTTTTCTTATGTTTACCTTGATGTTTTTTGTGTTATGTTATCGGTTTTACAGTTTTACTCGTATGCTTGTTGTCGTTCTAGTTGAATATCTGCAATTAACTGTCTTATTACTTGTTTGTTTTGTACATTAATCTGTTAGATATTTATTTGTTTGACTATACATGTACATATTCATTGCCTTACTTCTTGCATTTGCAACGTTTTTACATATTATTGTATAATTCACTGTATATTTTATTGTTATTTTTATGTTTGTGGACCCCTTTGAAAATCGGCTGTGCTGAAAGGGCCATCCACCCTATGAGAGGATATAAATAAATAAATAAATAAATTAATTAATTAATTAATAAACCTACAAAGGGAAACATCAAAATGTAAATCTGCCATATTAAGACATTGATAGACGTACGCGTAACGCATGTCACACACAGAAAAATGAGAAGAAAAGAAAGAATAATGTTTTAAAAAAGAAGATAGAGGAAAAGGAGAGAGACAGAGAGAGGGAGAGAGAGAAAGAAAGAAAGAAAAAAGGAAGAACATGAAACTTAACTTTACACTTAGGCCTACATATTACATTTCCGACTGAGTTTGCTTGACATGTGCTTAAGTAGTCTGCGGACGAAAGTACAACAATACGAAAACAGAAGTTATATGAAGTTGTCTTTAAGAGACTAAGAGAGGTTATTTCTAAAATGAAATGAAAGGGGTAATGTGACTCTCAAGGAGGAAATTACAATTTCTATCGCTCATGACGACTATTTGGAATTTCCTATTTTTTTTAAAGTTCAAGAACTGCCTCGGGCTCCGCCCCATGCAAGACTCCCGGCAACAGCAAATTATTTACACAATTTCTTGCTGTCTGCTGTCTCGAGATCACTGGAGCGAAGAAAGGTAACATATAGCAAGAATCCCTATTCAGTGAAGGATTAATCCCTTTTATTATTAAAGACTCCCGGCAAAGGCTCTCCCCCTGCAAAATTGGAGAGAATTTTATGTAGTTTAAGCTTCTAACAACCACTCCCGTGGACCTTTTATTATTTACACAAAGGTAAAAGTGTATAGCAAGAATCCCTATTCAGTGAAGGATTCATCCTTTTTATGCAAATGCTTCTTCTACCATTCTTGACCAGAAGTGCGTTTCAAACTCAATGATGTGGGTATAATCCCAATGAATGGTGTGTCCAGTGTTACGGGATTGTTTTGCTACTTGCTGCCTAATCTGAGGGCTCTGTTGTGCTCTTTAAAAAGAGGACACAATAGGGGCAGCGCAATTTAAATATCAAGGGATGTATTAGAGTTTATTTCAAAGAAATGAAAGGGCTATTTGACTTTCAATAAAAACTCTAATCCGTCCCTTGAAATTTAAATTGCACTGCCCCCATTCAGTGTGCCATTTTCAAAGAGCACAAAAAGGCTTCAGATTGAAGATTCCATCTCATAAAATTGTCTATAAGAGAGAAAGAGAGTTCATTTCGAGAGAAAAAATGAAATGAAAGGGCTATTTGACAAGAGCCCTTTCATTTCATTTTAGAAATAACCTCTCTTCCTCTCTTATAGACAATTTTCTCTCTTGAAAGTCAAGTAGCCCTTTCATTTCATTTTAAAAATAACCTCTTTTTTTCTCCTAAAGACAATTTCTCTCTTGAAAAGGCTCTGCCAGGCCCCTCAAGCTCTGCCATGTTGTATGGATCCATTAGAAAGCAAAATAAGCCCACTAAATAATTAATATATATTAAAACGTCATTGCGATTCACCCAAATAAGAAATCTACGTAAGAGGCATTTTGAAAGTTTTAAGAAAATTCCTTCAAATTCCAGGATATTGGGTGTTGTTTTTCAGGAAACTATGTTTAAACGAGTGGAAGCACTGGCGGTTCTGTTTTTTTTTAAACTGTAACAATTCTCCTTGGATCAGATATAGACCAAAAACAAGCTTCATTACCTTCAGTATACAAATGTCATTTCGAACCTTACAGCTTTCATAGAAATCGCTTCTGGACCGTCAAGGAAAAGTTTGAGAACCCCTGGTCTAGTCATTATACAAATCAGGACTAACTTGACAACTTGACAAAAATTTGAGGGGGGGTTCGACCCCCCCCCCCCCCCCCCCCCGCGTACGCGCCTGCATGTGCATCCCTTCCTCCTTATTCCCTTATCCATCGTTACCGTCACTACCATTTAAGTAGGGCCGGCCCCCTCTTCAATAACGGCTCCCAAGCCATCAAGAATGACCCCATAATTTATAGATTACCATTCTGCCGTTCTTTGGAGGGGTCGGGCGCGGCCTTTTCAGAAGTGTTTCTACACTAACCTTTTCTTGCACTACGGCTTAACATAAACAAACATGCTAAGATTTTTTTTAAAAGAAGCATAATTCCGACTCAGTTTCGCATAACCTAAAAATAAGAATACGGCCAGTCACCTCCCCCCCCCCCCCCCCCCCCCCCCCACAGAAATATATATGAATTATTTTCACCTATGTATCATTCGAGAGCATATTACTTCTTTTTTTATGAAAAGCAGAATATTAATTCAACACAGCTCATAATGTTCTCGCAATTACCGTTTGTTTTGGGTTTCGTTTTGTCTGGGACGCATAAATACTGGCGTCTGGTTCTATATTCTACGTATGCCATACTCACATTCGGTAGTCATTCCTTGTACACCCCACCATAGTACATGCATACAGACTAGTATCCGCAGTAGAGGAAGAAATGTCCCCATCTTTATATTTCACGATTTATGAGACACACACCTGTGAATGCATAAGTATTCTGACACAATGAGCAAGTTACTGTAATGGTACGCTCATTTGGGCTAAAGGGGGCGCTAGAGCCATAGAAGAGCCGGGCTGGGTTGATTAATGGTACAATTATTAGTTTGACTTGGTATACACCTAAAAGCTAAATAACATTAATTATGTTTCCAATAGTATGCCGGGAACGGGTAAACAACCCCTGGTTTTGAATTCTTGCATTAGATTAAAGTGTTCATTTCGAAAAGCACGTTGGAAATGAAATCCTGCATCAAGATGTACAGGTGTTCATTTCCAATAACAAGTTAGACAATAGACTGTTTTGCCGGTGACGCGACATTCTCGCGAAGAGATAGACTCCTCCCATATTTGTCGGTGACTAGTTCAGATAACACTCTTCTATTATGCTTTGTCATTGGTTATAATTAATTAACATATGGAAAACTTACGCGCATCTGCTCTGCGCCTCGTCGCTTATCCTGTTAAGCACGGGGAACGTACACCAAAAAAGCCATGTTTTGATATAATTGCTGGTATTACGGGAAAATGGAATTTTTTTAAAAAAATCTTCGGACGGTTTCTTATAATTTGAAATGTCGTCTTAAAAATGATACTAAATTTGGGATTATTCTTTCAGGGGAAACGGTTGCACTTTTCCCCTAAAAGTTTTGACTTTTTCAGCCTGCCTATGGAGATTGCACTGTTTTTCCCCTTTTTTGTCGGGTTTCGCTCAGTCAACCAGTCGGCAAATCTTACACGAGTGAGGTATAAAAAATCTTCGGACGGATTCAGAAACCTTGACATCCCACCTTTACGTTGGTATAACGATTGTTTTCATTTGTGGAGGGGAAACGGTGGCAATTTTCCAACAAATAAAAGGTAGCTTTTCATAGTAAACCAAGGTGACTGGGATAGTGTAGCGCTATAGCTACTCACAACGAGTGCGCCCGTACCGTACAAACAATGCACAGTTATAGCTTCCGTGCAATCGCTGTAGAGGTCAGTGTGTGTATTTAACGCAGTGCGTATACAGAGTGTGTGCGTTGCGCTCAAAATCTCGGATCGGAGACCGCATTACGCGCATCATGTCTATACATGCGCACCCGAATGGGTCATTGCACTCCAACTAGAGGGAAGTCAGTATAATCATTGGCAAAGGGAATGAGTTCGATTTCGTCTACGGTGTAATGGCAAGCCTCTGCTGGTGTAGTCTACCGTAATTTTGCATTTATTTAACTATAGGTGAGTTTCATTTCTAATTCTAGTTTGTTAGTGTTAGTAAGTAGTCAACGAGAGCAAGCGCTCGCACCCCTGCTTTGTCGCATTGAACTAGTCCGATCAGTGTACTTTCACGCAAGAGTGCACTTGAGCGCGCTCTCTTCGTTAAAGCGGTTGTTTAGTGCTGTATTCTTTTATGCGCGTTTAGGGCTAAAAGTTTTCCATATAGGTATAACTCCTCTCTTAATTGGTCGGATGACCTAAGGGTAATTTGATATATCCCGTCTTGTAATTGGTTGGCTTCGTAAGAGTCCTCCTGGTTGGTTGGCAATATCATGTAATATCTAAGCCTCATCGGGTGCCGCGGTATTTAAATGCGAGGTGCGGGATTCAGTTTTAGTTGATATTATTTGAGAGTTTATATTATTTGAGAGTTTATTTCATTCCGTTATCATGTTTAGGATGTGCTGCTAATTTACTGTCAATATGGCCGTCCAGCCTCTGAGAAAAGCAGCTTATTTACAATGTTTATTTAATAATAATACTCTTCGTTTGCAACGATTGGAGCTTCGGCTGATATATATATATATATATATATATTTAATAAAGTGGACTTCAACTGTAATTCCGAGCTTCTTGTGTTTTCATTTATATTTGAACTTGTCATCTTCAACTCATTAACTGGCCTACTACATTACTGTGAGTAATTCATCTCTTATACCAGCCTCTCGCATGCACACATCACGTGATGGCATTTCAATATTGACATTATGAGGTTTATTATGTTCACATAAAATTATGACCAACGGAGAAAAGGGGTCTTTATGACGTCACATAGCGTTATAGCGTAAGTGTAAATGACATTCTTTAATTCGCCCACATATTTTGGGGTATTTTGGGGTATTACTTAATTTACAGCTCAAATATTGACTATTTTGTAATACAAAATTAAAAGAAAAGATTATGTGCTGAATGAGTATTCCTTTTAAAGGGATCCGGTAATTTATTTGTCTCATATTTTGAAACAAAATTCTGGATTCACTCATGCTGCAATGATAATTATAAACCTTTAGGTCTGTCAGGAACTCCATGACTTTTACAAGCCGATCGCCTGTCTGAATATCAAGATATTTATGATTAAAAATCGAAACAAAATTTTGCGTTTGCCAAACGGTTTTCATAACACTACAGTCTATAGGGGCTAATGAGTATGGTAAATACGGTCACTTAAAGATTTATTCTTTTTTGAGGCAGTTCTTGATCACTTTGAAGAACGATTTTTTTTTTTAGGGCTTCAATATTACACCATTTGCTCGGGAAAATTTGAGGAAAACAATATTGTTTAAAAAAAATTGACCCTCGGTATTGGTATAAATTGTATAATTGGTCCTCAAGAGGGCGACATGCATTGATTAAAAAGACCGTCCAGGAAAATCATCTAAACAGGTTGATATAAAATAGGCCTTGAACATGTTGAAGTTTTCATGTAGGGACTTACGTTCTGAAATATATCTTTCCAAGTTCATTGAAGAGCTCTGCCTCTTCTTCTTCTTCTTAGCGAGTGACTACACAAGTCCCATCCAGTGGTCCACACAGGCTTTGGCACGGCAATTCACGGCTTCCAGGTCATCTTGGGTGCATGGCTCTGGCAGGAGTGGGCAGACTAGCAGGTGTTCCATTGTCTGTTCCTGGCCGCATTCACATGCCTCAGAACAATATGACTTAATTGTAGGTAAATCGAACCGTAATAGCAAACAACTCTAAAAGTAAAGGGAAAATAAGAGAAGCAGCTAGCGGGCAAAAGTTAAAACGAAGTCGGTCCCAAATAAAAGAAGAAAGTTGTGAATTTTAAATAGTTGTAATCACTATACGTATGGGAACCACAATTAGCCTAAATAGGGAATGTTACTGTGACAAATTTTCCCATCTGTTCCAATATACAAAATGACTGAAATAGTTTTTTCTTCTAAATGTTTGATTCGGGAAGGTAATTCTCTATAGAGGACAGACGATTTTGGTAAAATTAAAATTACCAAAAAATCAAATGTGGAGTAACCCAATGATTAATATTAGGCCCTTATTGTGTTTTTATGATATATTCATAATATTCCTACAGTGTGTCGAGAATATTAAACTCAATTTTATTTTCCGACGTTACAAGTGTTTTTTATCCCATCAAAATATTCAATCACTTCAAGATATTTTAATCGAGAAATAAAGTTAAAACCACATGGTTTTCTGTAGGTAAATTGTCAATTAATTTAAGTGAGACATTATATTAATTTGACTAATACAACATGTGACACTGATTCTGTTATTATTCGTTTGTGTAGTACAGAAATTAACAAGGTCCCTTCATTTAAATTTCTTGGCATAATCATTGATTAGATATTGAAATGGACTATCATGTAAATGCTGTTTGAGAGTTGGCCATGCGATCATGACTACGTCACGGTTCACTAAAAAAATTGCCTATTCGCATAGCTATAGGGATCTCATAATTTCTATTTAAAACATGCATTACTCTATTATTGTTTGGTCCTATTTATTTCAAGCTTTCCCAGTTTAGTTAGCTTATTTTTTTGCTTTCATACCAAAAATACAATTATTTAAAAAAATTAATTTGGTTAATTTGTGGATGTTACGAAAAAATAAAAAAAAGGATAACGTAACCAAGAAAACAAACACGAAACTCTTTAAACAAAATTGAATAAGCGTCACTATAAGAAAGCAACAATAATAATCAAAATAAATACAATTCTGTAGCAGCATGTATATCGAATAACCGGTATTGTGTTTATATAGGCCTTAAACTTGGTTATCTTTTTCAGGGGGAAAAAAAATCCACAAATAAGCATATATTTTGATTAAAATACTTTTAAATGGAACCGAAGTTGAATGATAGTCCACTAGGGCTGATCTAAACAATACCCATCAGATAAAAATACACTGTCGCTCATTCAGTTGGAATATTTTCGTTTTACCCCAATTTATGGAATTATTTTTAAAAATCATCTTAAAATAATAGATGTAGATAATAGTATACATTCTCAGATTTTATTGAATAATAATTTGACAATGTGTGTTTTGCGTTACTGCTAAAGCATGTGTATGCTACTATGCTTATCAACTAAGGGGCCTACGCCCTTAAGTCATAAATGACAGTAATGAGGATTAATGGCCCCACAAAATGGCACTAATATAGCACATCGACACGGTTTTTATCCTGGGGCCTCACAGTTACGAGGCCATTGCTTTGTCATTGAACCATGACTGTACGCACCAGGGGCTAGGGTAGGGGCAGTTTCCATAAAGAGAAAAAAACAAAGAAAATGCAATAAATTTTCAATAATTTATTGCATTTTACCCCGGTCCCCAACATTAAAAAAATCCTCTGGACGGCCGTGCATTATGGCTCAAGGCATGGGCACACAGTGGATTTTATTATGTTGGGAACCCGGGGTAAAATGCAATAAATAATTGAAAATGTATTGCATTTTCTTTGTGTTTTTTTTATTTATGGAAACTGCCCCCTACCAAAATAGTTGAATGGTGGTAAGAGATAAAATTATATATATATATATATATAATAAAAAAAGTTGAAAAAACAATAAAATACATGAGAAATTATCAAAACAAGAGATAACAAACGGAATAACCTGGGTCTTCCAAATCTTTTGTAGTATTATTGTTTTAAATGGTCTAACGATACATGTAGTGAAAAAAAATGCTTAAATATAAGGAGT